GATAAAGCATAATTCAATTTGAAGGAACCGAGAAGCTTCCAATTAAAAGTATGGCACAAAATTGTTTCCTGTACTTTTATGAAGTCGTTCTATTATGGGAGGTTATTCCCAGGCTTTTCAGCACAATAAATTGTTTCATCACTTAAGATAGGGACAACTCCATCACTCTAAGTCGATTGAATGGCGAACTCCACGCCCCCACTTTGCTGTTCATAAAACGCTTCCAGTCCCCGAGGAACAATCCCGAAGTTCAAAGGCAGCAGGTTTTATATGACAAAGAATGCTACAGACGTGGAAAGCTGCACCTCGCAAGCGGATGTGGATCGGTTTCGTCTGATGAGTTTTCTGCTTGACTGAAACGCGAGAAATGGTAGGCACTGATAATATGTACATAAGACCTATCTAAAGCTTTGCCACGGTGAAATGGCGCTATTGAGATTGTAAGAATGTAGCAGCTATAGTTCGTCTGACGTAAGGAGTTCCGGTGTATCGCCTCTTATGTGGTTTTCGGTTCAACCATTTTGCCGTTTCTGTTTTGAGCTGTTCTCGAAGGTACGCATTCTTCTATTTTTTAAGTGTTAAAGTTGAGAATTACGTTAGGTTTCCTGACTATGGTCTTCTTAAAATATGTATGTTTCTTACAACAGATAGTTTGGGCTATAGAATGTGTCAGGAAATAACTGAACAAGTAAGATACCGTGTAATATATTTACATTTTTAGGTTGATGTAGAAATAAAATTGGGCTTGGATTTCGTGACCCCTAAATTACATTGTTCTTGATCGAGAGCAAGAATAATGAAAGTCATCGCTTCAAACAGACAATTATTAATACAAGTATATTTTTCAAATAATAATCAATTATAAAAAATTCACTCACTCACTCACTATCCTGGTTTAGATTTTACTGCTGCCGGTTTCCCTGTCCCAGGGGTGGGCAGCAGTCGGCTGTTCTGCTCACCTCGTCTCCAGCTGGCTCTGTCCTGTGGGTCTGTGCTAGACAGACCACACTCCTTTATATCCTTCCGAATGCACTCTAACCAAGTTTTTCTCGGCCTGCCACGGCCTCTGTTGCCGCATAAAAATCTTGCTAAGTATATGTAATTTCATCATGGTTGTATAAGATGGAATTTCAATTGGTTAAGAATGAATGTTATTTCCACGTGACTTACTTGACGAAATGCATCATACAGCGGTGCGTAACTTGTAACTTGTATGTACAAAATTAATTAAGTTCTGTACACGTCCTATTTTGCTGTTGATTGATATTAACTGGACATTAGCAATGGTATCAGACATACAGGCGTTGCGTATTTCATTGTAGAGGCTTCAGCAGTACCTACAAAGAATTTAGCTACAAATATGTCTTCGCAACCAAAATTTGTTTTCATAATCTGCGAGCAGATTGTTTGGTGGCTGCAAAGACAGTATCAAACTGGCCAAACAGTATCCATTTTTGTCAGAGAGTTACCACTTGCCACCCGAAAGTTCGGCTAGCGTAAAAAGCACGCCAAAATACGCTGAAGGTCAAAACCTCTGATTGAAGAGTAATATGTTTTGCTTTCAACTACTGCCATCACAAATATCCATCAGTGATGCAGATTTATGCTTATTAGAAGCGGAATGTTCTTATCCGCTACATTTGAGAACCGCCGACGAATGTTGCCCCACCTTTCAACCGCATCTGTTGCTGATGGTGCAGGAAATTAATCGTCCTCACTTAAATACAACATCCCAGCGGTCACATTAGCCTGGGTCAAAACGCTTCCAGCAAAATGGTTATCTAGCTTACGCACAACAGTAATCTCCAAAGGCGCACATCTGTTCCCCAGGGATCAAAGATTGCCAAAGCTTTTCCGGCAATGACTTATGTTTCACACTGCTTTGGTTCAAAACAAAAGACACTGACAATGCTATGCGGATCGTGTAGTCAACGGTCATTCACAATTTGAAACATGTATTGAATGCGTTTAAAGAATATATTAAACACCTTGTCATGAGTACTAGTATACTACTTTTTTAAGCAATTTGCAACGTGAAATAAATTTCCATACATGGTAGTCATTATTTCGTCCCTTGACCTGGAATGAGAAGGGTGATTGGGGGAATCAATTTACCCAATCATACGTCCGGTCCACCCAGGAAATAACAAACAGTTCTATGGCCTACTTTATGAGGTATGGATTGGGGGAAAGCAGGTTGCATAGATCTATCGGTGCCGATATTGGCAGCAGATCATTTCATACCTCACAATATCAGCAACAGTCACTGAGATTATTTATTTGAATCTGTTGACAACTAATTCTAACCATTTCAATAGCACTAGATATTTATATGTATTGCAACTCCCCACGCCTAGAATCCTTAAACATCTAGACTAATAATGATAAATATGTTTTTGGGAATATTAAATGCTGTGTGTACAGTTTTTATTGTCTATAATTACAAACTGAGGTAATATTTATAATTTTATAAGTTGAGAAACTCCACCCTTACTAAACTTTTTTTCTAACTACAAGGTTTATTAATTTAGTCTGAATGAGGGTCAGCACAACATGTTGGTGCTGTCAATGAAACATTTATGTCTGCCTTCCTGTGCTTAAACGGTTTCTCATTTTGTCTATATTTGTGGGTAAATTGGTCCTTGGAACAGTTGAAAGTCGAGATAATTAGAGTTAAGATATGGATCAACGATAAATGGGTCATCCTTTATACCTTAGATAGCAGCAGAGACATTTGCATTAATCAATATTTATTTACTTGCAGTTGCAGGTCTCTGGTACCGTTTCAATGACTTTTACAAATTGATTCAAGAACCTCCTCAAGAACTTTACAATAATAAAGATTTTTTTCTTTACCAACAGCTTGATCTAGATCTAAGAACTGACTTTGTATAATAGTGTTTTAGCATATTGATTTCACTTAAATTATTTACCAACAAATAAAGAACGTTGCTAACTCATGTTCATGCCGCTCTGTTTCCTGCAGGGACCTTCGGCGTTTGGAGGTCGTTCGACTCCAGAAGAAAGTGGATCTTAATGATGGTAAATGGTGTATGTGATTGACATCGTGTATCAGCTGCTTCGCCCTTAAGCCCGCAGTAGCCACTGGAATAATTGCCTCGTGGTGTGAGGCCGTTCCTCGCGGAGGTCGGAGGTACCGTACCTGAATGCTCGGAGATTGGCTGGAAGCACCGGATTACACTGTATAAAGGTACGTATGCAACTCGGTTTTATGCCTTATTCAGAAGAAAATTAATCTTTCGCTTCGGTGAGAATGATAGAACCATTGACACGCCTTAAACCACAACGTAAATTCTGCATTGCACTGAGTATAAGTTGAAGTGACCTATTTGGCTAGTGATTCATTACCTGGGCGCCGTCCCCCAAAGTAACACAGTAATCATTTTTCATTGCAGAGTCGACGGTAGTATTACAGATGATTTAGGGGATTTTGGGGGGTTATTTGGGCAGTGTCGCCTGATCGATGTCACCAACTGTATCATTTTCAATTTTCAGATTCCCCTCAGGTAGAGACGACCAGTTCACCACCATGCTGAAGCCGTTGGAAGCCTGGTTCCCGATGATGCTACTACTGTACCCGACAGCCGGGCAATGGGACTGCCCCAAAGTATGCGAATGTAGCGAATTCGCGCAGAGTATCTACTGTGGAGACAAATTCCTATCGACCATTCCCATCGGCATACCGAGAGATGTCAAGATTTTTGTCCTTCGTAACAATTCAACAAAGTTGGTGAAAGACCAGTTTTCGTATCTACCCTATTTGACTAAACTGGATTTAGGTAATAACTCAATTTCTGAAATTGAGGTCGGTGCATTCCAAGGACTGACCCGGTTGTTAGAATTACTTCTACATCAGAACAAACTATTACTGGTGACGTCTGAGATGTTTGCTCCCCTTACAAACTTGCAACTGCTACGCCTCTATGGAAATCCAATTATTTGCCTCGACGCGTATACATTTTCCACCTTGCCATTGCTGCGGTTCCTAGACTTGAAGCAGCTGGATACTGTTAGATCCATTTCCAGGAACCTGTTCACAGGATTGACAAGTTTGACATACCTGAACTTCGCTTCGTCAAACCTCCAAACCGTGCCTTATCTGCAGCATCTAACCAGCCTGGAGGAACTGGTTTTCATCAACAATTCCGTCACGATACTGAGCGCTAAGAATTTCGCAGGTCTCACAAAACTCAAGAGATTAAACATGTCTAAAAACAGATTGTTGGAGATTGAACAAGGGACATTTGATGACCTTACGGCACTGCAGGAATTGGATTTATCCTACAACAATCTCAGCGGGCTACCTTACGGACTGTTTTCCAATATGGCGGCACTACAAAGCCTTAGACTGCAATACAACCCGTGGAACTGCAGCTGTCAGATCAAATGGCTGAACCAATTTCTCCGCACCCACGTAGGGAACGGTGGGACCAACAGCTGTGGATATTGTAAATCCCCAAGACAGTACGAAGGAATCATACTTTGTGACACGAGCCTGGAGAATATGCAATGCTCCGCACCACGTCTCGAAGTCGCGTTACCGAATGCTACTTTGAACGTGAGTGTTGGAGAAAGCGCAGCCCTTCAGTGCAATGTCAATGCAAAGAACGAAAAGGATAGCACTGTCAGTTGGACAAAACCTGATGGCAGCCCAGTACGCCCTGGGACATTTCGGTTTAGGGTGAAGCTTTCCAAGGCCGGGACGAGGTTAAACATCAGCAGAGTTACAATGTCAGATGCTGGGATATACCGGTGTGTGGCCAGGAATTCTGAGGGGAGCGCTACGTTTGATACCATACTGAATGTAACTGGGAGTATCCTACCTATCAACAAGGCAACCGAGATTCCTATGTTGGAAGAGCCTATGGAGGATGATTTTGATTCTAGTGTATGTACAGTTCCCCAAGATAATTTGAACAACAATGGATCTCAACTGCAAAGAGACATAGGGAGCGACATAGTTAAATGGCCACCGACAACGGACTCTCTGGACATCACGAACACACCAACGTACAGCGAGGGAACTGGCAGAGAGGGAGTGGACCGTAAAACGTACGTTGTCGGGCTAGTAGGAGCTGTAGCGGGGTTGGTCGTGGTACTTTGGATAGTCTTCTGCCTCGCGACAAAATGTTCACGGATGAAAAGGCGGAGGAGGTGTAGAAAGAAAGCTCAACAAGACATTAAAGGCTGCATGAGGAGAAGTTCATGCCTAGACAATAACAGTAAACCTGAGGACATTGTAGAAATCCCGGACATCCATACCATTACTGGCAAAGGATTGTACGATCATGAGAACATTACTGTAAATCCTACCGTAGAAACGATAGTGTGATACAACAGTACATTTAGCCAAAGACAAGTACTGCGCTTAGGCGCTGGAAGCCATTAGCTTTCTGAACGATCATACAAAGGTCCTCCAAGTCACTTGACAGCTCTTTGCTGTTTTTGATTTCCGTACTATTTTTAGGAACGTAATCCTTGGGGAGCCGAACGTTGAAAGTTTCTATAGCAATACATGTACATAGTCATAGAGTTCTCATGTCGACTTATACAGAATCGGCTATCGGTCTTTGACGTATAGAATATTTTGTAAGCTTCGGGCTAAATATGTAGTGATAAGCCTGCTAATCTTACTTACCCTCTTTACTACTTTAAAGTAGAATGAGCTATTGGTATCGACTTACCGCGGTAAACGTCTCATGAAAGTATATGAGTTCCAAACATTTCAGAGTTGTATCTCATGCAATCAGTTTATTGTGAACATCTGGCACAGCACACCTTGTTGTAGAGAACGTTTATGGAAATAAAGACATTTTTCATTCATTCCAGCGTGCTTCCCTGTGTCAAACGTAACAATAAAGGGTGATTGAGCTAATATTACAAGCAGCCAATAGATAATTAACTAATACTATTATTTAAAAGAAAAAAAAATATTACAAACTCTACAAAATGTATCTTTGGGCTAAATAGTGTGTAGTTATCCTGCTAATCTTACACACCATTTTTATGTGTATATTGATTTAATATAAGATTAATATTACATTATGAGGAAAGTGCCTTAGATACAGAAAAGTCATGAGAGAATATGAACGTTTATTCGTCAAAAATGGGGCATACGTGAAACTTAAAACTGTTCATAGTGACAGATGCAAGGGGCATTTTAACATCCAAGCATGATAATGCGGAAATCGACAGAAAGACGGCACCATCCCTTTGGAATACGTGAGTAATATCGTGAATTACTAAAACCTAGTATATCACTTGGATTCATAATAACCGAGTCACTAAAGCCATTAAAGCTGTAAACTGCAAGTAAGGACATTAGGACATAAAAGATCATCAAGCTGTTAGAAGGCAGCTTGATAGTTTGTGTGTTACATGCTATTACACTCATATCTATAAACACGATTACTCAACTTCCTTTGTAATGAAATATACATGATAACTATGGCTCTGAGAAGGGCAAGGACAAACTACCTTACTAGGGATATACATCAGAACACCCAGAGGATCAGAGTATAGTCTATCAGGCCTCATTTTACTGCCGAGCATGAGCATTTAAATTACTGCTATCGCTGGGAACACCCCCATCTGAACATCATTGGAGAAAACCGTAATTGTGTAACAAGGGATATATATCGAATGACATTGTAGAAATATTTTTACTTCAACCAGACCCAGAACACGTAGTGGTAAATTTCAATGGAGATACAGTTTCAGTACATTCACAAACACTTTCCATCTGATTTTTTAATGTAAAAATGAACTTACTTTTGACTCGATCAAAATGATAAAAAAAACTTTATTCATGAAGTTAGTGTCAAATCAGTTTCTTGTTGACAAACAGTATATCATGTTATTTTACAAAATATCAATATTACGCTTCGTTTAGCTACTCACTCGCTCTTCGCAAATCATTATTACTCACTTACGCACCTCAGTGCATTGTCCAGTTGTTATCAAATGATATCAATTGTATGCATCATCAATAGTTAAGTGGTACACGTGGAGTGTTCAAGCACTGGTTGGTTCCTGTTGTTCTGCTTTTAGCCTAGGATCGAAAACAGGGAGTCATATACAAAATCAAAACCTATAAACTACCAATTTCCATCACATGAATAATACTTTCTCTACGATTGCAAGGTTGGCCTATATTCCCTCAAGTGGAATGAGATGCACATAGTAAGTGTTTTCTGAGATAAGCATGAGGGTTTATCATGTACAGATTTTAAATCAGAGAGGAAATTCTCTTTGACGCTTTTGGAATCTTTCTGAAATCTCGCTTGCAGCAGGACTTGTTCCCGAAGATTACCGTCCTGCGCGGGTGACCTCTCCATGGCACCGCGACCTGCTCCCAACCCCTGCCCTGGGGACCTCTAAGTCTGATCGGTCATATCGGCCAATCAAGACCTCTAATCACTAAATCCCCGGAAAAAGCATTTCGCCCGACCGATTCCATCCAGAACACCTGTGCACCCCCTGGGCATAAACATTTCCAAGTGACCCCTGCTGCATATACTTTAATACGCTTTTTTTGTATATACAGCACTTTGCTATTGCCATTAGGATGGGGACATTTCTGTAGGATCATTGATTTTTGGTATGATTTTAGTTCTCTCTAGCGGCATTAAAGTTACAGCCATTACGTTACAGTGTACTAAAACTTGCGTCCCCGATTTTTATTACAAAAGGAAATTATTACATGCGAGATATCCGTTGTAAAATCACGGAACTGTGCAGTCTTTGTCAAGGAAAATCAAGTTCAGCTGATTGAATTTGATATTGATATTCCTACTCAAAACTTTTTTTGGTAACTTTAATGTAAAAAAATTCATGATACGTACAAAGGAAATGTAAAAAAAAGTCATATCTGTGTGCTATTTTCTAGAAGTATCACAGATCGATGGTTAGACCCCAGTCTAGTTCGCTAAGCAGATCAAAGATACTTATCGTCGGTCGTTAAAATTCTAATGTACTGTATTTGAAAAAAAATGTTTAGAACGTTGCAATTGTGATATTTCAAAATTCTTACTGAAAATCTGAGTTATATAACTAAGCCTCATTTGGTCGTTAGAGTCTCACGGATGTTGATGACCCTTTTCCTCCAGCCCTCCCTGTTCTTCCATACTACTGGCAGGTTTTCCAGAGTACAGCCCGCATCCTCACAAAGTTGATGTATCAATGCATGAAAATGTAATAGTTTTCACATATTCATAAGCTTACATTGAGCATGCTCTTTGGTTCAGAAAGATGGATGTTCATCGTATGCCGATGTTCCTTCGCAGAAAATGGCGATCTATATTATATAAGGGAGTATCTTCATATAGTATCTGAATCTGCACAAAGAGGTGATGATGGTATGTCTGTCATTTTACTGATGGGGGTTTTCAGGAAATTAGGGCAAACCTGCCGAGGTCAGAGAGTAATCTCAGCCTATCCGGTGTGGCATATATGTCGTTCCCATAATGATAGTAATAAAACCGTAGAGTCATACATCTTAGAAACATCCCCATACATCATCCATAGCTTAGGGAATACCTAACAACAAAGTGAAGAGATTCCCTAACCCTTCTTTTTCATACAGTTTTGTTTGGTGCATAGATGGCGCCGTCTGTTTGTAAAACGTTGTATTGCAAGCAAACTTGTACCAAGTGAGCAATGAATACTGGTGGAACAAGGTAGCTTGTATCAACATTACCAGGGCTAACGGCACTCCCGTAGCACTTTTGCCGTAGGGGTAATAAAAGACCATACTAAAGGACACATTTCAAATTCTTGTTTCTAAAGATATGTTCAACACATTTGGAGTCTAAGAATGTTTTGAATCAAACGCTTTTCGGAATTATTGTAAACTTTTTAATTGATTACATTCGTATGGCATCCTAGAGCTTCACAACGTGAGTATATACATGTAATTCAGTGACTTTAACAATCCAAGACAAAGGAATTATTCTTTTATCCTACCAAAACATTGTCAACCATATCTAGCAATTCTGAAAATACACGTCACATAGCATAACTTTACCATCAAAGTGCAACACCTGTCATTGTCCCATGCTGGAAGAACCTAGGGCAAATCAAATTTGCCATTTGGTGTAATTGCAATTCACAAGGGTTCCTAAATGATGTCGTATGATGACATTCCTAATGACATCAGGTCGTAAAGCGATAAAGATGTCTCCTGTCAGATTACCGATAAGTCGATATACAATTTACTCTCAGCATCGCTGAATTGTCTGTTGGATTGTGGTCTTACCAGATTACCTTCATTAAGTTCCTGGAAATGCGGTTGTTTGTGGTTATCTTTTTGATAAGGCACGTTATAAAATTAAGCAAATTATCAAAATCGTGGTGATCATGGAAAACTGATGATCATAGCTTCGGGATGAGGAAAAATCGTCCTCAAAGGGATGTTCCCTTATCTAGGATATCATTAGTGCCTTCAGATGATGCATCTAATGACATAGGGTCGTAGAGCGAGGAAACGTGTCCCTAAGGACCAGATTCATTATTGATTTTTTAAGTTATTCTAATTAAAATACATTCATGCTCCATGTGGTTTTACAAAACTTTATTCGAACAGTACGCTGCAAGGTGCGTAGTGCCACCTATCTGAAGAAGTGAGCATTGCAGGCCGAAACGGCGGGAAAATTTTCTGTCACGAGCACTGGCGGGAAAAGCGCCCTGTCACTAGTAATGGCGGGAAATTAGAAACTGGCGGGAAAAGCCGGTCACCAGTAATGGCGGGAAATTAGAAACCTGATACTAACCCATCGATTGCCAGACGCCGTGCCCGTGTAACACCGTGTACACTAGCAAAAGCGCCGCCTATATAGTAATGCACACATCGCACATTGTGGGTCTGTGGAACGCCGGCGCGGGGGATCACAGCGGGTCAGGCCGGGAAAGACTGCAAAGGTCTCGGCCAGACAGATCCCTCGGCCTCCCCTTCTGCTACACTCACTGTGGCGGACCTCCAGAGAGGGAGAGAAGAACTGGAGGCAGCCATCCAAGAGGCCGAGCTCCGACGAGAGGTGGAAGCACTAGAGAAGAACTTGCAGCTGCTGCAGCCCCCCTCAGGAGGTATGGGCGCTCTGGTTCCTCCAGCCGCTGGTCCGCCTGCCTCCGGGACGACGGCATCCCACGACCAACTTCCCCCACCCGGTCCCGGCATGGCTGTCCCGAAGACTGACGCGGGGCAACACGGAGCAGCTGTACAACTGGGCCCAGGAGGCGTCACCATGGACAACCTTCGGCGGGAGGCAGAGTTGCTCGCAAAAGCGTGATGGCTAACCTTGGCACGGCAGCAGAACTTCCGGTTTTTGATTCTTTTGTCCTGAACATGCTACGATCTTGACTTTTTGGTGACAGTTTCTGGCGAAATATTTTAGAGCGGAAAAGTCAAGAAAGGAACAACATGATTTATCAATTTTGGTTTGTAGGTGGCTTAGAGAGAGAGATCGCATACGATACACTCGGGTTTGACAAGCTGTTTTGACCTATGTGAGATGGTTTTCGGCTTTTCCATGTGTGTAACTTTATTTGAACGTACACTTTCTGGAGATTCTCAATCTTTTGTACGAGATCAGACACTGGTGAAATTGTTGGTTGTGACTGTGTTACTCTAACGTCAACATTATCATTTTCGATTTCACCAAGCATGGTATCTGTGCTTGGATAGTTGTGTACTTTGAGGTTTTTCAGCTATAATTTCCTTTCGAACCTCATATGTGGACAGCAACTCTCTTTTCGTTGGTGAGAAGCATATGTCTTGTTTTGTCGCATTTTGGAGTTGGAAGTAAAATCGAAAGAAGTTTTAGCCTAGCCTGATGACCCTTAATTGTTTGGGGATACGCTACGAATTGAAACATAATTGTAATTAGCACACTAGTGCCATCCTTGCCATACCTTGCTCCATGTACAACTGTCGAGCAATAAAGATCATCAACATGCTAAAAATGATAGACAGTTGTTGTTAGTTACTTTTTAGTGACGATTAGTGGCACAGGGCCGAAATGCAAAAACGAATACTACCATAGACACAAACGTTCGTTCTACAGTATCTTTATTTGTTTTCATCTTTCAGTGGCATGGTATAAAATTCTTACCGTCTGCACGCTTTTTTTACATTGTTATACTATTTATATTCACACAGGAAGCTTCAGTCTATATTCGCATCTAATGACATAGGATCGTAGAGTGATGGAAAGTATCTTTAAGCACCAGATTCATTATTGATAGGTATTCTAATTAAAATACGTATATGCTCAATGTGGTTTTACAAAACTTTCTTCGAACAGTACGCTGCAAGATGTGTATAGTGCCACCTAGCTGAAGAAGTGGGCATTGCAGGCCGAAACGGCGGGAAAATGTTCTGTCACGAGCACTGGCGGGAAAAGCGTCCTGTCACCAGTAATGGCGGGAAATTAGAAACGGGCGGGAAAAGCCTGTCACCAGTAATGGCGGGAAAATAGAAACCTGATACTAACCCATCAATTGCCAGACGCCTACATGCTTAGGAGTGATAGACAGTTGTTGTAAGTTTCTTTTCCGCGATAATTGGTGCATAAGGGCCGAAATGCAAAAACAAATACAAGACACAAACGTTGTTCTACCGTATCTTTATTTGTTTTCATCTTTCAGTGGCATGGTATAAAATTCTTACTGCCTGCACGTTTTTTTTACATTGTTATACTATTTATATTCACACAGGAAGCTTCAGTCTATATTCGTTGACGTGAACACTACAGCGTGTACATGTCTGTCACATTGTGGTAACTAGCTATAGCTTCATGTACAGGTGAAATATACAACTGGGCAACATTTTACAATTTGATGTAGGCACCGCTTTTAAAACACTGTTCTTTACATATATCTGCATACATTGGTCAACATATTGTCTAGTGATATATATTCTTTTTAATTCGGTTTCATCATTACAGTGCAAGTTAGAAAAATGAGGATAAAGGTTAGCGTTACAAAACACAAATATAAAAGAGCATCTATATACAGTTTAAAGTACAAGGAGGTGAAAATTGTAATGAATAACTAATGGTGCATGCATTTCATTCCATTAGTATGTTATTTGATTGCAATTTGTATATATACATGCTGCTTAACTCGAGGCCGGATTTGAACAAACGAAAATAAACAGTTCCTTTCATTGTCTGCAGGTGGCGTTTTTGATCAGTATTTTGACAACACTACGTCGAAAGGCGCGAGTGGAAACATTAAAATGAACAGACGGCTAGATACTCTTTGAATGGAAATGTTAGGTACAAGACAACAATCTATTTCAAGATACATATACAAATGTTAAAACGAACATTTATGGACTTGCATAGTGAAATATAGGAAGCGTCTTGATCGTCAGATATGTAAAAGACGTATGATTATCCATAAATTTACACCACTCCGCCCGTCAATACATATTTTAAAGGTGTCCCCAGTACGTGTTAACCCGTGTGTACCATCATTTTATTTCTTATCTTGATTCCTGAAGCCATCATACATGCATACAGCAATAGTAGCCAGATTTCTTTAACAGAAACGGCGTAATTCCACAGGAACTATAGAGCTTGCTTACACTTTGTTCTAATTCCTATAATTGTCATTTTTTTTCTAACAAAAAGGTGGAAAGCTGTTATTTTAGCTATAGTAATATTGTGTCTATTTACAGTTACATATGCTTGTTATTTTTCCCTGTCTAACATTATTTGAGTCGGTAACTACTAATGGTTTCAGCTCACAAAAATATATCTATTGATTTTACTTTTCAACCCTAGTGCATTGGACACAATGTCGCTCCTGACAGTATATTTTCACTAAAAGATGAGGTTTCTGTACGTAGATTTAACATGGAACACAGCAGTGGAGCCTTTCTCTTGGCCAAAGCGAGACGGCTTTGCTTGGGCAAGGTCTTGCCTTTTGACAGCGACTGATCCTAAGCGGCATCTGGCGCCTTTACCACGAACTGCAATCTAGGATGCCCGAAGCTTGATTTACGTCTTATTTACAACACCACAATATGTTCCTTTAAGGCCACACAAACTTGATTTACGGATGTTATCTCCTGGAGGCCCAGAATTCAATCAGAGATTGTGAAAATGCGAATCCATCTCGCTTCGGAATGGGCATTTTTTACGATACGCGCCATCTTTCTTTGACGTTTTCTGGGCAATTACAACAAAATCTCTTACTCACAATCAATCATCGCACATGCGAATAAGTTTCATTCACAACGACTCTGTGACAACTTGATACCGTGTGCGAACATTTTCTGGACAACTGCCCCTGTACGTTCGACGCAATCAAGTTTTTGTGGCCCCTTGTGCTGCTAATACCTGGTGAACGTATGTGCTAGAGATGCTTCACGTCACAGAAAGCCAATTTGCTTGGTAAACGAGGACAACTTTCCAAATCATATTCGTCTTGCTTCCGTTGCTTCTCCATTTTCGTGATATGCTGTCCCGTTGCATTTAGCATCCTTCCTTTTAAGTGTCACTACCATTCATCAAGCTTCAAGCGGCGACAAGCTTGCTGGGCTGGTCTTCTCTGCGCATCTTCGTGGGCGGTGTCCATACTAGCTACCAAAAGGACACGTGACATCAAGCTACCTATGAAATCACGTTCAACACGTCTATTTTAGTCCATAGGACATCGTCATGACCACGGGAATGAATCTGTTACCATGCCGCTGAGAAGTGTGGTCATCCCCGCTACTAGCAGCGTCAGGATGGCTGTGGACATCGACGAGAGTGGCGGGGATCCACCGACACTTCGAGCGCACATTCCGGTATAACACTTCAATGGGCTCTCACAGAACTTGCCACCGAAACCCGGTAGACAGTCACAGCGCTGATAATTCAGGCAGGTCCCGTTGTTCTGACAGGACAGCGTGTCGTTGTTACACAGAGCAGCTGTAAGTTTCCAGAGAGAACCCAAAGTATGTTAACAGAATATTTTCAATTTTGTATTATTAAAATTCGTATTTTTGCCTCAACGCTAGAACATTACATTATATAGTTAAGTAATTTGAATCGTCTATTTAATCTTCAAATTGTCCAACACCGTTGCACCGCCGTATTATTAAACTAAAAAATAACGTCAAAAAAAGAAGAAAGGACTAGATTCAATACATAGCTTTGGTGAAGCAATACTTACGAACACAGCCCTGTCCATCCGCCCAGTAGTAATTTTTAACGCAGGAGTCGCACTTCGGACCTTTGGTGTACGATTTGCAGATACATTCTCCAGTTGTGGCGTTACACTTGTTGTGCCTCGATCCTACTTGGTTGCAGTTACATGCTGTAGAAATAAAGACATAACTTTACAGTCAGAATATATGGTTGCAGTTGCCTGCAGTAGCAAAAAACGGAATGCCTTCACGGCAAGATTGCTTGGCTCCCGTTACACGCTGCAGCAAAAAATAACTTCACAGTTAAAATACCCGTAAATATTTCGATCATAAGTATCCGTTATTTTACTAAAAGTCATACCACATTTAGCTTGAATTCCTATTGATTTTTTTTTCATTTTGAATCATCACAATTACTCTTTCCCAGTAGTAAACTGGAATTTTCAAATAACGACCACACGTAATTACAGAACAGTTTTTGATGATGCTAGCTGCAGCGGTGTCACTATACGTGAGAAAATAATTACGAGATCGATAAATGATGAATTCCTTTGGCAGCTGGTGGAACCTGTATTTAATGAAAGTCGTCGACCAAATGTTCATGGCCATTAATCTGTAATCGCTTGTTGATTGTTCTATTCTGCATTGCCCATTACACAGCTCCTGATTGTTTGATTGCATTTGGATGGTTGCAGAATATTGCGTAATCCTTCGTCTAATATACACAAAGTAACTACAAAATGATCATCTTGGGTCTAAATTTGTCTTTTGAGAGCTCACGCAAAGTATTAAAGTACTCTGAAGTGCAATGTATTTAGTTAGTTATTCATCCATTAAACTTTACAAAATAGAATCTAGAGGTGTCGGCAACAGGATCTCTATAAAATATGCATCCTACACGCTTTGAGCACAATTGCCAGCCTGAAATATGATGGAACAGTTACCAGAACGAAATGTATGATATAAAAGACAAGAAACAAAATAGATTGGTTGAAGAAAATAATCACAAGTACCTTTTCTATATGTTCATTTAGCAATATATAATGAATTATTTGTTTTGTCGTTCACCTAAGCAGCCCGGCCGACCGAGCCCCGATTCGGAAATTTGCCCTAAGCATACACAGGGCTCCAGACCACAAAAATGCAACATCACAAATACGCTTAATAGGGAGATGCAAGAGGCACTTGGATTCTTATCAAAGTATCTCATTTAAAAACATGAAATTTATAGAACGCCTGGGGATAAGACGCCAAACAGTTAGTTGACTTGCTCGTCTAGAAGTAATCATGAACCCTTACAGCGTCCCCAGCCACGCCTTTGAGACCTCAATATATCTGAGTTCATTTTGGGCCTGTCGGCAGTCGTTTGTCAACAGTGCGAAAAACATTGATCTTCAAATGAAGACAGAAGAACCCAGAGTCAGCAAATTGCTTGTGGTCGACAACCATTTGAAATCTTCAACGCTGCCGCTTTGTAAAGAAAAAGCGGCCCGCTTATAACGAAATTAGTTCAAGTCTTTTCTTATCAGGGCGAAGATTGTAACATAGTTTGAAGCCCCTGTTCCAAACTCTAGAACATTCTCCCGACCGCTAACCAAGGTTGGCTGAAGTTCTGGATCAGTCTGATCAGATTCAGGTCACGCCTATACGAATCTAATCGTATTTGAGTTGGATTTGAGTCAAATTTAACCCTGAACAGGCCTCAAACACCGCTGACATACTCCCAAACACCAGCCAATAATGGGCGAACTTCCCACCCACACTCGAACGTTTTAAACATTTTAAAAACATTTTGCCGCGGACCTTAAGCCTGAACATCGTTGAGGGTAGTTCTGTTAGGGAGGCCATGTTTGACTATATGTTTGTGGCAGGGGCTTATAATTAAACGACGAAACTTAAAACCATGTATAGTATCCCAGTACAAAGGCTCGGTTGCCATTTCATATTAACATTATGAATTGCTTCACCCTACATTGTCATGATCCTTCACGAACAGGGGGATCTGTCTTATTTTCATTAATACGGGAGACGTGGATGGCCATGGGACGACCTGCATCACCAGAAGTCAATGCTGTGTCGAACGTACGGGCAGCCGTGCACCACTGGTCATCCGTCATTGTCCACTGTTTTGGACACTTTCATCTAGATGATCTTACGATTGGTGCTTAAATGTCCGTGAAATCAATACACTCTCCGGCCGACAATTACAACGGTAGTTTTTTTGATGCCCAAAGAGGAACTCTATACCAAATGAGAGACCAGGGGCGAGGTTCTAACGACAGCAACTTCAAAGGTCATGTGTCAGCATCTACAAGCTCTGACAGCGTCTTTATTAAGATTCGTGGCTTTGGGCTTCAATCCAGATAGTCCCCGAAAATAGCCCGTCGGACATCAAAGAGATGTAATCCGAGATGTTTGAAGTGCCGCTACAACAAACAGACGATTGGCATGACTGATACACACTGGAGATGTTTCTTTCGCTGTCAAACAACCAAAGTATAAATCACCAACGATTATCGTTGGCAAAACAATTGCAACCATATATAACGGAAACAAAAAAACTTCTGCAGATTAAAAACATAGCACTAGCGAGCAACGTGAGAAAATGTCGAATTTTTCTTTAATAAAATTGAATAAACCCTATTTTGTAAGAGAAATGACTATGGTATTGTAAAATTGAATTCAGAATAGATAGATTTCGATTGCTAAGGGATATCAAACTAAAAGTAATAGGACGACATGTAAGCCCTCGCCATACCCATCGCTGAAAAAAAGCAATTTAGCTTCATTGGAGTTTGTAACAACTTAAACCACACATACATGTATAACAGTGACCGTTCAGGTATACATGCGTATCATTGTGTTTACATATTAAAGAGTGTAGGGTTATCAAAGTTGCGAAGAACGTCGACCGAAACACCAAAGGTCATCAAATCTAAAAACGTGCTGTGCGATGTATCTCCACGGATATATATCTTTAAAATATATACCCTTGGAGATAATTCGTGCTAGATTATCGGCCTTCTTCCATCATCCCTTTAATGAGCCTTCTTGTTTGAAACGACGCAGGAACACAACTAATAATGCCCCCACTGTGCTGTAAGGTGATAGGCAATAACGTAAATAGTGTGTGATGTATTCAGGATCACTAAGTAGAGTTTTATAGGCTATACAGCAAAGATAGAGATGGATAAAACTTGATTTATTGCTTGCGATAACAACTTTCAATCGTGTTTTTATATAAGGTATAATGAAAGCTACGCCACTCATTATCATAACCCCCCAGATAGCTGGTTATAAAATCACACAAAGGAGAGATTACGGAATGCTGTCTGATATATACTCCATTAATGTATTACGATGCAGTAGTCTATTCTTGTTCTAGTGTGATTGCAAAGTAGATTGGAACTTGCAAATTCAGCAGGACGGGGGATTACTTCGTAGAAAGCAATGACAAAACTTTATTGCCTAGTGCGTGCAAGGCTGACTGCTGCTTGAATTATATAAACACTGTAAAAACAAGAGATATTATATGTGCTTTTGAATTCCAACGTCTCTGAAATTCCAAACAATCAATATCAGCATAATAATCCAGTTCATTGAGTGATATATTTATATATAAATCTAGATATGATTTGAGGTATGTCTAGAAATAGTATATTGTGGTCGTTGCCTGTATATTGTACGTTCCTAAATTAAATAGTATTGCCATCACGATTTGCAACTAAGAAACTATTACTTTGCACTGCACGAAAAGTTGGATTGCAGTAATTCCAGTAAAACCTGATAATATTTACATCGTAAACAGTACCGGGCTTGAAAACTGTAGTAAATAGGTACATCCCAGGATAATATTTCTCAAACAAAATCACCAGACTTGGCGTTTATTTACCGCCGTAATGCTTGTAAAGCTAGGTATACTCTTTACAAAGTAAACATTGGATATTACCCGACTCTACTGGCATTTACTACCATTGGTAAATCAAACGTTTTCTGCAGTGAAACGGAATAGTATTCTCCCTGCGGAGTCAACTTACGAGCACACACGTTCGGATCGACGATCTGCTTGGTCATGTCTCTGTAAAAGCCAGGCAAACATTGCTCGCAATTCCTCCCCATGGTGTTGTGAAGACAGCCGATGCACACCATGTAGCCGAGGACTTGTATCAGACGACAGCGTTCAGAGTGGCCGTTGCACTGACAGGCTGATGCAAGATGCAAGACAGAGGAAACATTACACAAATTAGCAAATAACAAACACGATAACGAAGTATTGGCGCTATTTTTCGCACGTTAGGATACCGCAGGACCGGTGCAGCTTTACAGAATGGCATTTTGGCTAAGATGAAATACTAATAAGATTGAATGTCAATTTTTAGATATCACATTTGGATCAGTTTGGGAGCGAGAAGCGATGGGTCCCCTTACCTGTTTTAAGGTAAGCCTGCCCAGCTGCATCGTGGAAATTTCTTCATTTGGTCTTTTCATTGAGGGGATTATTTTCTTAAGTTATGTTAAATGTGTCGGAAGAACCGTCACCGAGTCGCAAGTGCAGATGCAAAATGCTTTATTTTCCGTTTTTGGTTCCCCATTTTCGTCACGCCATGGAGTTAAAAGGAGAACTAACCCCATGGTCACGCTGAGGGGGATATGATTTGATTTGCCAGCAACAGCTGTCAGTTTTGGAGGCATTTACATAATAAAAGCGTGCGAGAAACCCCGAATTTCCGTTCTGTTTCGGTCAAAATTTGCATACATACCAGACGACGAGCAGACAGCTTGTGTCTGGTTCTCTTTGCAGGCTTCATTTTGATTTCTTGGCTTCTCGGGGTGGTTGGTCTTTTTTCTGACCCTTTGTCACTTGTTCTTTGTTGCCTCGCTTTCTCAACCTTTATCTCTGTTTTCTTTGTAGGATATAGACGAGTTTGCGGGCCTTTTTGTCTTGTAGAATTTCAGTCTATTTTGTCTTTCTCACTGGGTAAGGCTTCAGACAAAAATGGCACGTTTACGTAAACTCAGTGAAACGAGAGTAGGTTTCTTAGATAGTTATGAGATGAAGGCCTCTAATGTTTGTGATTTTTTGGACAAACATGTCGTGGAAATCAACGATGTTAACTTGGTCCAGCCCTTTATAGTCTGAGGGGCAATTTTGACCTGGCGTTTGTGTTTATCGTGGGTCGTTGCCGTGTACAGCAGATACTGGATGGGGAAATGTCCATAGATGTGTCCGCGTTTGGATATCATTAGTTCATTTTAGCGGGTCGCTATATGACAATTTTGTACGCTACTGGCTCTCATTCTTTCATTCAAGGCGACCAACTTCAGCCTATTCAACAAAGTGCCGTCTTTGTTGGTGATTCGATGTGAAGCATAGCCGGTTACATTTTGAAGAAAGGAAGAGAGAGCAGTCTTTGGGGGCAAGGTTGTTCCAGTCGCGGATCATACGTGTCAAAAACGACTGCTTGCATAGTTTCATAGTTTGCTGGGCTTAGTAATGAGTGATAGGGTGGCTCTATACTGCAGCATTCAGACTCAAAAGTCTGCTAAGACACACAGTCTGTCCATAACGGTACGCGTCAGTGTCTAGTGACACTAAAGCATTGGAAATCCATCCATACTTCAGGTTCATGGCCCCGACCCCTCATCTGTGCCAAGTTCCACACGGAAGACCATGTTGCTAGGCACTACTTGTAGTAGCCTCCGTAAGGTTTAGTGATCAAACCCAATAATGTGCAGTGCATGCCTTCTACAAGTTTGGCCACACTGCCCGGGCCTGTCCGTTGTCTTTTGCAAAGTATAGCAAGGATGTCAACAAGTGGGCTTCTGTAGGGCGCCCAGTTATTATGGGCGTGGAGAAAAACTTTCCTCCTGATCAAGTGGGAAAAGACAGCCAGTGGATCCTTTTTTCCTTTCTCGTTATGTATTATTCATGTAAAATGTTACAAAGAAAACACATTTGTTTACTTACTTCTACACTCGTTTGCAGTTCCTCTGGGTAGTGGTTTCCACGTCCCAGCCTTCCACTTTCGCGTGTCATACGGCTTTTTGCACCTGCTGCAGTCGGGTCCCTCTGTGTTGTGTTTGCAGTCACACGTCATCGTACCGTTAATCATGAAGCAGTCTGAGCCATGGAGGTTGCACTTACACCTGTAGTGCATTCAATTTTAAATCAATTTTAATTATGAACTAAACAACAATGGGAAGACGAGACAATATCATCATCATTAGTACTTCTCATTACGAGGTGCAGCAAGCGAAGTTGATACTGTAGAACTGACTGTACAGTGATTTACGTTGGGTTTTAGAAAACGATTTTTGAACAACTACATACTAAATTCTGTAATATGACGTGAATGACTGAGTAAACATGTAAGCATACATATGAGTAAAATGTAGAGGGAATATGGTGCAGTTTCGATAAACTTAGGCACATAATTACATCATAATAACGATGTTTCTGTGCCTAACAATTATCGTAAAGGCTGATGGCATGGCGAAGGAAGATAGTTACAAACGTTTTTGGCGCGGTTTGTTGAGATGTCAAATTAGTATGGTTATTTTAGTCAACCAACAAATACAATGTATAAGGCCTCAAAGCGATAAAGATAGAAAAAAAATTGAGAAACCATATAAGTTTCTAATACAAAATCACTTTTTTCAACTATGTGCATCCTTCGTAAGTATTAGTTCATTGTTGCTGTTGTTCTAATATTGTTGTTTTATAGCAGAGGTGTTTCATAAATACTTCTGTGTTTGTACAAATGTCCGTTGAATAAATGTGAAAAAAAATCTGTCGTGCAATGTAAAATGTAGCACGATAAAGCCCTTACCTTCCCCTGACTTGGATGTCAGATATAGCGTAATAATACTTGAGCAGCTCCATGGTGGTACTCCTACTGTAAGCACCGTTGGTGGCTGGTGCCAAAAGCCGTATCCTCAGATCAGTCAAGGTCACAAAGTCTCTGAGCTGCTGGTGGTTTTCCAGTTCAACTGAGATGTCGTTTGTTGATTTCAAAGAGTTCAAATACCGGTTAAATCTGTCCTCAATCTCCAGCCGTACGCTTCCATCGGGTCTGGGCATCGCTCCGCTGTAAACCTGGGTACAGATGACCTTGGCAATGTCCCTTCTGGATATGGTACTACTCGTCACCGGCATTTTGTTAAAGGAGTCCATACACTTTCTAGCGTAGTACTGCATGGGCATCCACGTTTTTCCGTAATCCATCGACTTCTCGATGACCATCTGGTACGGCCGAACGGATTGGAACTTCACTACAATGTCATTGGTCAACTCGAATGTCTTGTTCCAGGATAAGGTGACGTTGATTTGCATGGGGTTGGGGTAGTCTAGCCAGGACACGGACTGCCACCAGGTGGGCACGCCCCTCTCGGTGTCAGTCATGAACTTGGGCGGATGAGACTGGCCTTTCATCCGAGCGTTGCATATATCGCAGCTGGTGGGTATCTCCTGGGCAAGGTGGTGAGAAAGAAGAAAATGATGAGAGCAACTAAACACGAGCTCTTCTATGACAAATTATACGGGAGCAGCACTACTGTTAAGTTTTGACGTATTGAGAAATACTGCTACAGGCAATAAAACTTCATTAGCTTTTTTTACAGGGTACGTTCTATTATTGCAAGCCTTCATGGCTTTACGTAATCCTTTGCATGCGTCATATATAGCCTGAATCGCCCTCTCAAGTCACCTGGGGCAAATTGCGAGTATGAACAACGCCCTTTGGTATGATCATGTAAGCTAAGATAAGTCATTGAAATGCGTCTATGATAGACGTTATTCTATCTGCTTTCAAAATGGGGTCAAAACTTTCTACCAACAATATGGAAAATATATCAACTTTATGGCAACTATTAGCACATAATCATGTCTTTACAACAGACAAAGGAATTGTTAGCAATTAGTTAACATATGAACAATTCATATAAAAAAGGTACAAGGTGCAATGGCTTCGGCATATAGGTTGTTTTCTGGAAATTAGTGCCTCTCAGGAGGAGCGAGTGCCTCTCAGGAGGAGCGAGTGCATCCCAATCGTCAACAAACTAAACATCTTCAAGGCCTCATGTGTAGCAGTGCTGTCCTGTGGTTGTAAATCCTGGGTTCAAATTACGAAGCACAGGGGGAACAAAATCATCTCTTTTGCCACCTGTTAACGCACTATGCTGAACATTTAGCGGGACACGTTCTCAGTATGCCCGAGGGAGGAGGAACCTGTCAGACTGTAAACTCTACTCTGTACAAGCCATATCATGTCGGACGCAAATAAGGACTACAGCCGGCCTACTACCAACTTACAGTACACCCAACAGCTCATGGGAGGTTAAAATACTCTAAGTGACACAGATCTCTGATATTGCTAGCAATAAGGGGAGGTGTAGGAAAATTGCAGTGCAGCCGACCGATGACAATGTATGTCAATGTGTGTACCATTTGGACGTGCCACTTGCTGGTCATTTATATTTAACTGTCACGTGTTCAAACAACATCTATAAACTACGAAATACATGATAAATTATGATATAATCTGCAAGATGACGGATTGAAGATACCAATGCGTCAAGTTTGAAAATCACATGATAAAATCTCCAGACACACCAGTGTGAGAGGGGCGTTTCCCGCACTGCAAACTGTAGATAAGGCGTGATCTGATCATTCATGGGAAGCATCAATGCCGTAATGGGCATTATGATAAACTGTGTATATGTAAACCTTACCGACTCAGAGGTATTTTCCTGAGGTTTTCATTGTTTAGAAGAAACAGGATATTGTTGCTGCAAAGAAAACAAAAACTGGCATACCAAGGCCAAAATTAGCAGAATTTCTGACTGCGCTACCTATAAAAACTGTAAGTAAAAGACATATCCCTTGCGCTAAATGTTTCTAAAACCACAATCTATTTTATGTTTGCTTGCACCGGCAATCCAACTACCAGCAAGCCTTAACACACGCACATCACAAACGTGTGGTCCAGACAGGATGGCGCCAACAAACCACGATTACGCACCAGCCAGGCAACGCTTTTCCAACTAGTTTATGGACGAATGTATGCATTTTGATTGACCGACCGACTACAACACTTATTCTACTTGAACTAGGAGCCCTCGATCTGCAATCCTTTGGCTATTCGAATGGAAACTCATCTCTGCTACGTCGTAAAGCGTCGTTTGGTGGGCATGATGTATAAGGAAATTGGCGTCATGGGGTGTATTGCCGACAAATGAATCCAAGTGACATTTACATCTGGACGCTGAAAAAGCGGAGCTGAATTGCAACGGGTCACGGTTCTTAAAGGATGCAGGCTGTCAGAAGCACGGCACAAAATCCTTTCTTTAACCACGCCTTTAACAATGCATAAAGTGCTGTTTCTTCCCTTACCTATTGCCTGTCCACCTTCTTTAAGATGTGCTTAGAGATATTTTTCTGTGAAAGTATCTTCAGGTTGGCAGGTGTACCATACTTATATTTCTTGTTGATGCCGAAATGCGTCATCACGATATGATTAGGTAAATGTTTGTTTAATGAGTGACTGACAATTACTACTTACATAATCCCCTTCACTTATTGATAGTATCTACTGCCGGAAAATCGTAATTGTGTAATAGTGATTACACTGGGGTGGGTATAAATGTAAACTTGACCCACAAAATTGTCATGTTGCAATACTCTACTTTTAGCTTAGACTGTGAAAATTAGATTTGGCTTTGAAATATATTTTTTACTACTGGATTTGGACTTTTACATTAATATTTAATCATACATTATTCTGCCGTTCCCTAACAACACAACGTTCCTATGTATTGTGTTAATGCTGTTGCTTGCTCACTTGCCTAGCGAACGAACATTGTTAACGAACAATGGCATGTATAAAAATGTCTGTTTTTTGCCTGAAGCAGTAGAGGGACTAACAAGATATGGTGTCTACTCCATGATTCAGATGAAATAGTCGATGATCTCAGCAATATATGCAAATGAGGTCGCGGGGTTAACAGTTGCAGTATTACCTCTCACCTTAGATCATTCTGGTCATTCCGGGTTAACGAAAGGTTAATCATGCCGTATTTCTCTCTGCCCCCTCTTTGTCACGTGATTGATGCAAATGAGGGCCTGCTTCACGGGAACGGTTATTCCGGTCAGGCCCTACAGCCCATCTGTCTGACCGGTGCGTCCAAGTCATCCGTCATTTAGACAAAATGCCAACCGAGGGGCTTCTATTATTGCCCTAATAGCTTAGTTTTATACCCACCGTCTACGTTAAATTAGAAAAAAATACTATATACTATAATTGTATAGTTTGTGGATATGGTAAAATTAATGTCAGTAGCCAAGAAAAAATATGATAACATTTTGCCGGTGGCTTAGATAACGATTGCATAACCATGCTCTAGCCAGTGCCTACGTACGCAGATCTACGTTCTAGGATAAGCGGAGACTATCTAGAACTGTGTCTGATCCCAAACCTAACCCCTGAAGACCCAGAACCATATAGATAAGGTTTTGGATAAGATGCTTGCTGATCTGTATCTGTATAGCTGGTATGACCTGCCTCTCGGCGTAACACACCAGCTTCGCAGGCACACGGGGCCGACCAACTTGTTACACCTAGTCTTAATACATCTAAGTCTGGACATCGTTTAAAGCTATATATATTGTCATGATGCCCCCACTCTACTTGGTTGGAGCAAGATCCAATCTACGACATTTGTTGGGAAAAGCACCTCAATACTTGGTTGATAACTCTGGTGCTTGAAGGAATAACCATTTCTTTTTCGCTCCTGAGCTGAGCTGGTATTAGGTACTTGGAAGTTGGTACATCCACCAGTTTAATATTTATTCTATACATCAAGCATGGTCTGGAATTGTTTTTGTCAGATTAGACTTTTTCCCCAGCAAGACTCTTAATCGTACATTCTCCTGGTTGGCAAAGTACAGATCGATAACCATTAAAGTAAAGGCTGATTGGATGATCTATTCTACACTGAATGTCATCAAGATTCAATTCCACCCCACTGTCAAGGAATCCACCTTCAAAAGAAAGATTCATCACCGAACCAAGAAGGTCTTGACCAAGGCCCAGTGTTGCTGGTAGACTGTTGCATTTTCTTTAAAAAACTGTTGCACCATTCGTCTTCCAAAATACGTAGTAACAGTTTTGTTGTTGTTGTTGTTTTTCAAAATTTTCCACTTCGGCAGTTTTTAGTCATTATAGAGGAAATATGAAGGGTGACACCTGCGATAAAGCTTGATAAATGACTCTTGAAATCGCATTATAATGTGAATATTTGTTTGTCATAAAGCAGGGATTAGGAGCTCCATCTAGTTCCATTGTAATCTCATGTTGCGGTAGTGAAGCACTAAAAATCATTTAATTTCATAAACATTTGCAAATTTTCAACTCTGATATTATATCAGTATGTTTTACAGGAATTGTGGCTGTCAAAGTCTATTAAAAACTACCGAAGTAAAAACAAGTTGAACTTCGGAAGATGCTATGTGAATTACTTGGCTTGCACCTTTCTCTCATCAGTGCATTTGACAAGTTCAACTAATGAGCACAATTAGACTTCGGTACCATTGTTGTATAAACGGGAGAACAATTATTCACAATACAAATTGTCTACTCATTATGCCCACTGGACCAATTTAGAAAATGCATACGTCAATCTTTTACGACAAAATACCAAGCGGATTCATATTCCAAGTGAATATGACATAAAGAAATTGCTTGGTACAAAGTTTCTAATATCAGCGGTTAGTAATCAACATTGTTTCCTATAACATTTTGTACTTGCCTCCCGGCACCATCAGATATTTGAAAAATAATATCTTCAAACTTCCCTGAAGGTTTCGGGTGTAATCTCAGCCAATAAATCATATCGGGAGGAGGCGAAATTGATCATCAGTCATTTTTGATCTTTGGAACGATACACGGAACAAAAGTGCATTATCTGCATTAGCAAGTACTCCTAGCCCCCTCCTTCACCCACGCAAAAAGGGGAAAATAGTATGCAGACACCCTATGCAACACAAACTGTTTTCAAAAGCAAGGCAAACTTCCTTTACCAGGCATTCAATTGTCGGACAGGTTTACACATTAGCATATAGAGGGCAGGGCCTAGGGGAAACCATATAATGTCTTCTTTGCCTACATTTCTTCACAGCACAACAATGTAACCATCTTTTTTGTTCATATTTATTGGGAAAGATGTGTCAACAACTCTGACCAGTTCACCCAAAGCACATGATTGCTATCTGATACGTCTCACATGAGTTGCCAGGCTTGTGATTTGGGGCACAGCCGATTTGGTTGTCTATAAATATCTGCATGGTTCTCTTGGGTCCATAATATTGCTGAGCCTTTCATTATTGCATCCCTTTAATGGTCCGCCTGACGTATGTGGCACAGATCCAGACAAAGAACGACAGAACATTTTCGATTATTAGCTAGCTTTGAACATTGCAGGAAATGGTCGGCACATTTTGAGATAAATAGAAAATGCCCCTAAATATTGAACGGGGTACAATTGTTAGGATCATATATTTTCATATTTGACAACTACAATAAACCAGACTGTGCCCTTAACTGTGATTTGCATGAGCGGCCTTGGGAGGGATGCCAACAGCCTGCAGCAGGCATATTCTACTTGGTACATAATCACTCTGTACAACTACGACCTTTCCAACGTTGTATGCAATAACTTCTGTGTTTCCCGTGTGCGATAACCTTTTCTGTCCACTGTGATATCTCCATAGATACCCGGAGTGAAATCCCCCAGGGACTGATGAAACGAACATCTGTACAAAGTACCAACGGTTATCGCATACCCTACAGGCGGGGAATGGTTGACTAGGGTGCTATTTCACCGTTTATAAGTCTCCAGTGCCTCTGTAATCAATATACAGGCATCGGAGCGGATTTTTACTGCATCTACTTGATCGTACCGCCATTATTTATAGTTTATTTCGCATCACAGGGTCCAGAGAGCATCAATTTGCTGTAGAAACTTGACAATTCTTTCTAGTTCTCTGATTCTACCCAATAGTGGATAAAGAAATGCACAAGAATCTACCAACCATACGAGTATAGAGCAGCACCCAGGATCCAATGGCATTCAAAACTGTTTTATCAAATAAAGCAATAGAATAGTATAGTTTACATACGTTGTACTTTAACTGTTGCCATCGTGCATGTTTATAAGACACACTGTTGTTAGTTCTTTCAAATTATATCGGTGAAAGACCTTGTACTTCCCGATGACTCCAGAAAGTATTTTTGTTGATGTTTCCATGAGCATACTATCGGCAATGTCAGGAAACCCCGTCTTGAAAAAAGTCTCCATCTCCTTTGTTCCACAGTCGGGCCGGCAAAACGTCGATTTGGTTTGTTTAAACCATCACCATTTTTCATATCATATCTCAGAACACAGCAAAAATTTAAAAAAATAACCAAAAATGATTAATGGCAGTGATGAAGCCATTTTCTAAATTCGTTTGTTTTATCTGTTGTGCTGATCATAAATGTGATATGGATGAGGATAATTGCTGCAAGTCTGAGCCTCGTTACTTGCAAACCGATGTTACAATCTGGCAGCATATGCTCACTCGGGGGATCAGTCTGGGAGGCTATTGGAGACGGAGAGACGTATATCTTTCGCAAGTGGGAGTGCTCTTGTATCTTACATGCACTTTGTCGGTCCGTTCTCCGGGTGCATTTTATCGGACATTGCCTGTAGGAATCGCCCGTGGTGTGGTACGTTATATAGCCGATGATGGTGCTTCCATGTCTTCTTAATCCTTCTTTATGGGGCTTTAATCCCAAATCACTCTGCAGGTCTCCGCAACTCAGAGATAAATGAACCTGATGCATGTACGGCCTAGTGGTAGTCAGTAACTCATGTACTGGTCAACCCTCTGTATATATACAGCAACCATATATAAGGACACTGTAGGTAAAACGGTCAAACTCATCTATGTCTATGATTGCTTAACAAAATCCATTAGATCATTAAAAAACCAATCAAAATGTTTTGCATTGTCATTTATAGCATTTTATACAAAAATTTTAAAAGTGTAACATCACAGAAATAATACCACTAATGAACGAATCTACAGGACTCGAAATTAACTTTCCTTACTATTGTCCCAGCGCTGTACCAAAAATAAATTTCAATTGTCCCGAATTGTCCCATGGCCCAACCTGTTTTGGGGAGGTATTATATAAATTCAACTTGAAGTCAACTTTATTTTGCTTATGTTCACTCCCAGGCGCACTATAATTGCAGAGTATACAGGAAATTCGAGGGGACTTTTCCGGATCCAAAAGCGTGTGCCTGATAAACAAAAGAAGGGTTGACATTCTTTATTTTCTATTGTCCCCAAACTGTCCCGAAGTGTCTTTTTTGTTGTCCCAGCCTAAATTCTAAGTGGTCAGTGGCCATTGGACCACCTTTAATTTCAAGCCCTGATCTAACATATTCTGGAAAATGAAGCACTGTCCGGGCATTACATCGCCGGAGTCGTATTGCTGTACTGAAGCATGTAGCTGAGCAAGATTGAATCGAGTCCGGGGGCAAAGTGAAGTTCGTAATAGGGTAGTTCTTACTGACTATATCTTATCCCCAAGCCCTTGTCACACATTCAGGACCAACTAAGGTTGCCTGAAGTTCAGGAACATTCAGACTATATTTATTTTACGCCTACTTTTCTACACGAATAGAATCGAATTTGAGTCGTGGGGTCGTGTGGCGTAGCGTGGGGTCGTGTGGCGTAGCGGCAGAGTGCGCGACTCGGAACTTTGAGTCCCGAGTTCGAGTCCTGACATGCCACCGATCTTGTGCCCTTGGGAAAGGCACTTTACACGGCTTTCCTCACTTAGCTCAGGTGTAAATGAGTATTTTCCTGTCATGTATTTGTCCCCTGTGTTGGTGGCGGCATTAATATAAGTTGAAAAAACTTGAGTGTGTCGTCACCACGTCTGGTGATTACATGTTGGAATTAAAAAAAAAAAAAA